AACTCATCGGCTATGAGCCCTTATTGGTTCATCCAAATCCGCAGAAGATGAAATCACACATTTCCTGATACTCTTTGCAAAGCTAGTAGATAAGATTATATCAAAACCCTGATTCAATCATTAGACAGGAACTTCAATCACCAAATCTGGCTAACTACGTCGGATTCCGTCCAAAGGTTTTATGACTTCATCGAAATCAGATTCTTTAAGTAGGAGATCAAGGAGGAGCTTAAATAGCACCTGATAGTTGTTGTAAACAGGAGCTCGAAGGATTGTACCAAAAATTGATACCACTGAAGGAAAAAGCTTTCATAGGGTTCCACCTACCTCCTGGTGGATCCTACCTTTCTGTAGGCAGATACTTCAATAAACATATCCTGAACCAGGTACAATTTGTTCAACCAGGAACTACGTCGGATTCCACCCAAATCCTGGTACTCATTGTACTCAAGAACTCATCGGACTGTATCAGAATCCTGATTTTTTTTGGTCACATGAGATCACGTTGGATCCACTTAAATCCTGCCCTTCATGGTTGCTATTGGTTCATCGAAATAAGCAGGAGATTAAATCACACCTCTCCTAATACTCTTTGCAAACTTAGTAGATAAGATTATAACAAAATCCTGATAAAATCATTAGCCAGGAGCTTCAATCGCCAAATCTGGCTAACTACGTCGGATTCCGTCCAAAGGTTTTATGACTTCATCGAAATCAAATTCTTTAAGCAGGAGATCAAGGAGGAGCTTAAATAGCACCTCTTCTGATAGTTTTTGTAAACAGGAGCTCGTAGGATTGTACCAAAAACTGATACCACAGAAGGAAAAAGCTCTCATAGGATTCCGCCTAACCCTGGTACCTTTCTGTAGACAGAAACTTGAATAATCCCACGCTGAACCTTATACAATTTATTCAACTAGCAACTACGTTGGATTCCATCCAAATCCTGATACCTTTCGTATGCAGGAGTTTTAATTGCCTCATCGTGATCCTCTGTCAACAGGAATCCTATCGGATTATATCAAATCCTGATTCTTGTGTACAGAAGAGCTCTCGTTGGATCCTGATCCTCGTCGGTAGTACGAGGATTTGTGACTTCATCGAAATCAGTTACTTTAAGCAGACAGGAGCTTAAATCACACCTTTCCTGATACTCTTTGCAAAGCTAGTAGATAAAATTATAGCTTCAATCGCCAAATCCGGATACTTTTTGTACACAGTAGCTCGTAGGATTAGGAAAAATCCTGATACTACTGAAGGCAAAAGCTGTCTAGTACGAGGGTTATGACTTGATCGAAATCAGTTACTTCAAGCAGACAGGAGCTTAAATAGCACCTCTCTTGATAGTCTTTGTAAACAGAAGGTTGTAGGATTGTATAAAAACCCTAATACCACTGAAGGCAAAAGCTCTCATAGGGTTGCGCCCAAATCCTGGTACTTTTCTGTACGCAGAAACGTCAATAATCCCATGCTGAACCTGATACAATTTATTCAACTAGCAACTACGTCGGATTCCGTCCAAATCCTGATACTTTTTGTATGCAGGAGTTTTAATTGCCTCATCGTGATCCTCTTTGTCAACAGGAATCCTATCGGATTATATCAAATCCTGATTCTTGTGTACAGAAGAACTCTCGTTGGATTCCATCCAAATCCTGATCCTCGTCGGTAGTACGAGGTTTTATGACTTCATCAAAATCAGTTACTTTAAGCAGACAGGAGCTTAAAGCACACCTTTCCTGATACTCTTTGCCAGTATCAAATTATCACCTCTCTGGTTAGTTTTTGTAAATATGAGCTTGAAGTGTTGGATCAAAATTTTGATACCACTGAAGGCAAAAGCTCTCATGGGGTACCAACTACCAGGTAAATCTTGATACTTTTTGTGAGCAGGGGCTTATATTCCCTCATCCTGATACTCTTTGTAAAGAGGAACTCATAGGATCGTATTAAAACGCCAGGATTTCTCGTGGATTTTTATTTACATCCTAATACTCTCAATAGACAAAAGCTTCGTTTAGAACTTCCTTGATATTACGTATACACAACATCTCTCGTCGAGTTCCATCAAAATCCTAATATACTCAATAGTCAGAAGCTATAATTATCACATCCTCATATGGTTTGTAAACAGGATCCATCCAAACCCTGATACATTCTGGGGAAAGGAGCTCCTTATGTTTCGTTAAAAAGTAAACCGTGATACACATTGCAGGATCTCTGTTAGTCTTGAAACTTATAAAGACCCAACTCATGCCAAAGGTTGTTTATTGGATGGAGTGAAAAGGACGGTGGATTTGTGTGAATCATTTTTTTCTGTCAGCGGCGTGGTTTTAACTGAAAACGGCATTATATCCTTTTTCGATTTAGACGGTGAGTTGGGCAAGAGGTCGTAAATTGAGTTATAACGCCGTCTTTCCCAACGACGCGGTCCCCGTTTTGCGAAACCTCCGATCCGCGACTCTTTGCGAATGTTAATAAACGGATAAACGGCTTTTTTTTAATCCTTCGGGCGAGGGTGAAAGTGATCCAGCGGACACTCGGGAGAAGTCGAAAGTCGAAACGCACTGGGTGAAGGTCGAGGTTTCACTGTGTCATGAGTGGCAGCGCGAAGTTTCCTTTTGGGCCACACCCGACTTTCGTTGACCGGACCGTCGATAAATCATATCGCGAAAAAGCCGGGGCTTTTTTCCACTTTCAATTATACCGGGGCCTTTATGGACAAAAGATATCCAAGTGATTCATGGCCCGGATCAAATATCGACTTGGCAAATAGACAAAAATTGGCCTACAGGCCTAGAACCGAGAAGAAAAGCCTCTCGGCTCGAGGAAATGGGACGGCTCGAAGGCCTCGCGTTTTCGATTATCCATGGCACATCTAATTTCCACGATGCACTTATAGATTAAACCAAATCCGTGTCGGTTTCTGATATTTGACTTTTTTCTTTCATTCATATCTCAGCTTTATGCCTCTTACTACACCGAACTCTGAGAATGAAAATAATTTCAATAATTTGGTAATATCTCTACCACCTCTAACACTACTCGTAAATCTCCCCCTCATCCCAGTTCTCTAGTCTTCTGTCCTAAAATCTCTCTCTCATTCTCTCTTCTTCCCTAATTTTAAAAACTCTCTTTGCACCTAAAGTTAAATCACCCTCTTTACTTTCTAAAATCTCTGTCTGTCTGTCTGTCTCTCTCTCCCTTTCGCTCTCTCTCTCTCTCTCTCTCTCTCTCTCTCTCTCTCTCTCTCTTTCTCTCTTTCCATCCCTGAGGCTTCCTCCCTCCCTCTCTCTCCCCCTAAAGTTACATCTCTTATATCTTCCTTAAAGTAAACTCAATCTTTCTTTTCCTCCTAAAATCTCGTTCTCACTTTTCTCTCTCTCTCTCTCTCTCTCCCTAAAGTCATAATCTCTTTTTCCTCCTAATGTTAAATCACTCTTTTTCGCTCCTAAAATCTCTCTCCCTTCCTAAAGTTATAATCTTTTTTTTCTCCTAAAGTTAAATTACTATTTTTCCCCTCCTAAAATCTCTCTCCCTCTCTCCCTTCCTAAAGTTATAATCTCTTTTTTCTCCTAAAGTTAAATTACTATTTTTCCCTACTAAACCCCCCTCTCTCACCCCCTAAAGTCATAATATCTTTTTCCTCCTAACGTTAAATTACTATTTTTCCCTACTAAAACCTCTCTCTCTCTCTCTCTCTCTCTCTCTCTCTCTCTCTCTCTCTCTCTCTCTCTCTCTCTAATATTATATTTCTTTTTTCTTCCCGAAAATTTATCTCCATTTCTCCTTCCCTCCCTAAATTTTTTTATAGATCTTCCTTCTCAACTAAAATGATCTCAATCTCTCTTTTCCTCCAAAAATCTCGTTCTCTCCCTAAAGGTATATCTCTCGTTTTTTCCCTAAAGTTTCTCAATATCTCTTTCCCTCCCTAAATCTCTATATCGCTCTCGCCCACGCTCCCCATCGACTATCGATTATGAAGAGAATTTTACTTTTTAATCTGGATTTTTCCAAACACGTTTTCGTTTTGAGTCGCCGATTAGTTCGATCTTTGACTGATTTCGGAACGGTGCGAGACCCTACGGGCACAATCTTGAGGATCATTACAATTTCCTCAATAGTTGGTGGAAGTAAAGTGTTGGTAGAAAATTAAATTTCATTTGAATTAATGCATTCAAACTTGCGTGTCTTGTTGCTTGACATTTTCAAAGAGTCATCATTCAGACTTAGAATTCTGCTTAGGCAAGTATGATTTAATCAGAGCAGATAATACTGGATAAAGAGAGGAAAACAGTTTGAAAAAAACAACAACAAACAATAGATAGATTAATTTTGGTGAAAGTCCACCGTCGGAAAGGTCTGTAAATCGCCTGTTCGGCCAAGCTTTCGATCTAGGCAAAACAAAGTCGCGAGCTGGACCGGACCGGCGAACGGGTCTTAGAAAGGAGAAGGAGGGAGGACTTCTCAAGGTCCACAACGGCTAAACGGGCATAGAATGTAACCCGTTGCATAAGTCTAACTGTAAATGTTAAAAGTCTCGCCCACGACTCGAGGGGAAAAAGTTTACCGGCGCGTTACCAACGGTGTAACTGTAACGGTAACACGATAAAAACGATGGACTCGATGAACGCTATGGAATCACACGATCGCCATTGTATCGGCCTATTATACCTTCTCTTGGTCGACTGGGATTTAAGAATTATTCTATTCCACATTGTGAAAATCATTTTAAAAAAAGCGAAAAGCTTTTCCTATTTTGAAAAATTAGTATTAGAAATTTTCTAAGCCGGCGGATGACGCCTACGAGAACTCCTTGAACTTTTCTGACCGGAGGATTGGAAGTGGAAACCCGGCGACCTTTTCAATTCCGCACATCCACGGATTGAAAGAGTCTTTTGGCATTTGTGATTGCCCAATCTTTTGGAATATTCGAAAAGAACGAGTCAAATTAAAAACTCGTTTTGTCATAAAAAAACAAAAAAACAATCAATACTCACTTAATTTATGGGTCGCCACTATTCCCTGACACCTGGAAAAAAAACAATCAATTAAAAGAAATATAAGCACGATAAAGACAGATTATAAAGTAAATCGGCCCTTGGGATCGTTGGAAACCGCGAAATCCGGGAAGACCGTATAACCTCAAACCGCAACTGGGCGCATTTCCGCGCAGTCAATCCAACAAACATGAAAATTGGGTTTTCTTTTATTCATCGTTCATCATCAGACCAGAAAGAACGAATTGGTTAAACCAGAAACAACCATGCGAGAGCACATCATCCAACGGGCCGACCACATAACCTCAAAACTTGATTCAAGCTTACAAACAAAATTTCTATTATAAACTATATAAACTAGACGAATTACATATAATGAAGTAGAATATCTTACCTGAAAGTAAAATAAAGACAAACGATTTGGTAAAACCATGAAATTCTGAGGTACACATAACCTCAAACTATTTATCAACTGCATACTCTCTTGTCAAACAACAAAAATAGATAATTGTATTTTTTATGTTTAAACAAGAAAGAACTCTTGGAACTGCCAAAGACCTAGCGGACTATACATTGACAAAACGAAACATGCTATTGACGGTAACCATCCAAACTTTTATTTCTAACCCTAATGAATGACTTATAACAATGTAGAATGTGCTAATTAAAACTAAAACAAGGACAAAAAATTGCTAAAACCACGAAATTCTGAGATACACATAACCTCAAACTGTACCTATCAACTGCACACTCTTATCAAACTACAAAACTTGAAAATTATATTATTGTAATTGTTTTTTGTATGTTTAAACAAGGAAGAACATCTCAAATTTTCAAGTCTAACTATATATTGCAACTGCATGAGACCGAACGGACCACAAGATCTCAAAATGAAACATGTTATTCACGCCAACCAAATTTTTATTACTAAACTAATTGAATCATTATAATAAACTAAAATATTCCAATTAAAAGCAAATCCACGCCAAGACTGTCCTGTCATAGACATAACCTCAAACTATAACTATAGCATCCATACGACTCATGTCAATCAAAAAACTTAAAAAATCGATTTTTCGTTTAGAAGGTTTAAAAATGAAAGAACGTTGTGAATTTACAGGTCTTCTACCTTTTCCAGGGAACTGCATGCCAGCGGACGACACAGCCTCAAAACGAAACATGCCATTCAAGCTTACAATCAATTTTTTAAATTCTAAACTACATGAATCACTTATAACAAAGTAAAATATGTTACTTCAAAAAAATCCGGTGACCAAAAATTGATAACTCATGCAATCACTTCAAACTGTAACTACCATACAACAACCGCATCCCACTCTCGTCAAACTGCAAACCCAGAAAAATGTATTTTTTATGGTTTCTTATGTTTAGACAATGAAGAAAACGTTGAATTTTTAAGTCAATCTTTTCGTGGGAACTGCGTGAGACCCAGCGGACACATGACCTCAAAACGAAACATACTGTACATGCTTAAACTCAAACTTTTAAATTCCGAACTAAATCCATTACTTATGATGAAGGAGAATAATTTAATTAAAAGCAAAAGAAGAACCTCAAACTGCACGAGCATGCATTATTAAAGCAAAAAATAGAATTTTTTATTATCCGTAAGGCTTAAACCGGAAAGAACATGTTGAACTTCCAATTCTACCTTCGCAGGGAACTGCATGAGACTCCGCGGACCACATAACCTCAAAACTTTTAATTATATAAAACTATAAAAGACTGAGGCATAACCTCAAACTATAACCATAAACTGCATCCCATTCTGATCAAACTACAAAACTTAATAATTGTTTTAATTAATTATACTTTTAATCTAAAATCTTGGTTGAGATGAAAAAGCAAGTGTCACGAGCGGGATTTATCCATTGCTCTTTTTATTAAAAAGGAAATAATATCTTGTCTTTTTTTGCTGGGAGCTTCATGAAACCCAGTAGACCAATCCAAGCATACAATCATTTATTTATATTCTAAACTACGAATCACTTATAAAAAAAAGTAAAATATGTTATATATAAAAAAAAAATAAGGACGAAATATTGATTAGAACCATGAAATCACGAGGTACAGATAACCTCCAAATGTAATCGGCAACTGCACCATACCCTTATCAAACTTCAAAACTGTAAAATACTATTTTTGTTATTCCTAATGAAACAAGGAAGAACCTGTTGAATTATCAAGTTTAACTTAGGCTAGAAAAAGTCCAAGTGAACCACATGCCTGACAGGCCAACACATAACTTATAAATAAGACTGACACTGATGGTTCCTTAGGAAAATTACAACTTCAAAGTGGTACAAAATGTTTAAATAATAATGAAATCTGGATGGACATGATTCTAAATGTTATATTACTGATATTAACTTGTCAAAATTGACCTTCGTGCTGGTTTATCGACTATTTCTCTTCGGCCTGACGACGTTGAGATTCATTTCGAGAAAGGATGGGAATCGGGATCATTTACCGCCGGAATTGCAATCAGAAATCCCATTTGGCCGTTTTCCGTGATCCGACCGGAGTCGTTTATGAAAATGGGTCGATCCGTCAAATCGTGGAAGACCGAGAGGGGTTTTCGGGTCCGCCGGGTCGCGCCCCTGCCAATCTGGGACGGGCGTGGAAACAATCGGACGGCGTAAGATTTACGGATTTACGGACGGAGCCGCTCCTGATTTCACGCCAATTTGTACGTGGCACGATGGAAACGCGGTCAGAACGAAAAAAAGGAAAAAAGGACAGTAACTACCGTAGACGAATCCGCGACAAACCTTTCGCATTGTGACCATTTGGACAAATTGAATCTACTCCACGGTTTAACCGGATCAACCTTTTTTTAAATAAACACACTACCAATTGTAAAAAAAAAGAAAGAAAAGAAAAGAAATCATTCAGCAATTTAAAGTTACAAAAGGCATAAATAGCGTAGTTGGTCGATCCAAATTTTCGATTTTGGGTCAGCCTTATTTCGGTATTACAGTAAAGTTCTATTGAACTGTCTTATAACTAGATTTTTTCAATATGTATGCACAAATAGATAGATAAAAAGAGAAAAGAACTATATGAGAAAGGAGATATATTCTCAAAAAGAACTACACAGAATGCATAAATCGATTCTTTATTGATATGACATCGATTATCAAAGTCTAACCTTTCACAAAATTGTTGCTACTTCTTATATACATTTTACTACATCATAACCTCAAGCGAAAACTAAACACTGAATACATAAATCGATTCTGTATCGATAAGACATCGATTAACGATGCCTATATTTTCATAAAATTCGTTAAATTATCCCTATTTCTTACATACATTTTACTAGATCCTAACCTCAAAAGAGAGTAAAATATTGAATGCAAAAAGCTATCCTTTATTGATCTGACATCGATTATCGAGGCCTAACTTTTGATCAAATTATCGCTCTTTCTTATACACATTTTATTTTATCGTAACCTCAAGGGAAAATTAAACACTGAATACATAAATCGATTCTGTATCGATAAGACATCGATTATCAATACTTATACTTTCAATAAATTATCGCTATTTCTTATATACATTTTATTCGATCATAACCTCAACGGAAAGCTAGATGCTGAATGCATAAATCTATTTTTTATTAATATGACATCGATTATCGATGCTTAATCTTCCATAACTTTCATTAAATTATCGCTATTTCTTATGCACATTTTGTTATATCCTAACCTCAAATGAGAAGAAAAATTTGAAATATATTATTNATTGTAGATGCTTAATCTTCCATAACTTTCATTAAATTATCGCTATTTCTTATGCACATTTTGTTATATCCTAACCTCAAATGAGAAGAAAAATTGAAATCTATTATTGTTTAGGTGAAATCAAAAAAAAAAAAATATATATATATATATATATAATGTTTGAATCGATTCAGTATCAACATGTTACATCGATTATTCATTCCTATGTCATTAGTATATTGATGTGCCTTCAATATAATTTATACGTCATAAATATATGTTTAACCCCAAAAATACCTTGTAGGGTTCTCGGTTTCAGTGCAGTTCTACCATGGATGACCGAAAATAAACTTTCCAATTTTCCTGCTATCTTTTTTTTGTGAAATTAATCTATTAAACTTGTGTCGATCAATGTTTTCTAAGTTAGGTTTTAGAATGAAGTGACTACGGTTGAAAATAAGTACGGTCGTCCAATACTTTTTCTTTTAACCTAAGTGTTGTTTTTTTCTATTTGGTATTAACCTCCTCCGTACTTTCTCATCTGCCTCCTCCGCGTCGCCCACTCGGGAAAACGGGCTTGTTTAACCCAGATCGACGAGTCCTTTTTTTAACCGGGGCCATTTTCATACGCCTTCGCAATGACGGAATGATTAACGGAACCGCCTCTCACCGGTTCTCTTTTTCAAGTCATTTCACTGTTTTTATCCGTTGTGGATTTAATTTTTTTGTGGGCGAATAAGCGAATTGTTTGAGAAGTTTTAACAAGGGAAGAGAACGAACGATGAGAGCAGTCCCAGGCTCCCGTTTTTCAACGCCCTATTGGGTAATACATAAAGCCAAAAAGAACGTTTTCGTCAGGATGTTTGGTCGAATAAAATTGAAGTACAAAATTACAAACAGGAGCCCAGACTTGCGCTTATCCCGCGGAGGACCATTATGCGGGAAATGGGCCGTTTTTTCCTGACGGTCATTGAGGACGGACTGGAACGAAGGAAAGAACCCGATTGAAAAGGGGTCGCTAATGATTTATAGCCACTTTAATGACGATAATCATCTCGGAAGAAGAAGTGGGGATCCAGACGAGGCGCCTCGAAGGAGGATTAAACCGGCTCTGGGATTGCTTCCAAATCCAAATCCGATAGGAAGAAGGTACGAGTATCGGGTCCCGGATCGTGAAGTCAAATGGGTTTTAATTACTTCTTCCAGTCACCAATTGCGCAATCAAAAAGAACAGCAAACAATAAAAACGACAGCTTTTGATATTCAAGGCCTAATGAAGTTTATTGTTTCGAGACAAGGGCAAACAAATTCGAATTTGGACGCCAACTTCTCATTCCAATCCAGTTTATCTTCTGCCCGTTTATTTTCTCACTTCCTCATTCTCTCTGTCTTCTAACATCTACATCTGACTCTCCCAATAAATTAAAAACAAAATAAAACAGTACAACTCCTTTACTTTGAGCAAAACAAAGGTATAAACGATTGTATATATCGATACTAAATCAAATAAATCATTCGGTTTACGTTTGAGGCTAGGATTTACAAGACTTGAACGTTGATTCATCGAAATAGCAGAAATTTTATATATGAAACTGATTAAACCTAAACACACCAGTATATCATTAGTTTTATAAAACGGCATCAATAATCGATACGTCAATACTGAGTCAATTTATGCATTTAGTATTTAGTATTCGTTTGAGGTTAAAACGTATGAAAATATATAAAAACTGTCGGCATTTTAATAGACATTCCTTGTCATAATTGTATCATAATATCTTTAGTTTATCGACAATCGATAATAAGTATATCGATACGTCATAAATAATAATCCATTATCGATATCTCATTACCACATCGATATCCCACAACTACATATATCGATAATTGGTACGCCATATGTACATAGGTGTTTTATATGATGTAAATATATCGATAATCGATCGGTCGTAAGACTTCGATAATCAATATGCCAAACCTATATCAATACTGAGTCCATTTATGCATTGAGCATTTAGTATTCTTTTTAGGGGTTTTTTTTTTTGCGTTATGAACTATGCATATTAGCCATGTGACAATTCGTATATGTGTGTTCAAATTTGGGGGGGGTTATTGTGAAAAAAGGGCCAGAGGCGACGGTGGGAATCGAACCCACGACCGCGGCGTGAGAGTCTCTCATGCTAACCACTCGGCTACCGCGGTCCCCTCTTTTTAGGTTAAAAACTACTAAAAATATATAAAAACTCTCGGCATTTTAATGGACATTCCATGTCATAATTAACGTCTTTAGTTTATCGATAACCGATAGTAAGTATCTCGATATTATACACGGTAATATATCGATACTTTATAAATATGTATATCCATTATCGATATATCATAACCACATCGATACCCCATAAGTACATATATCGATAATCAGTACGCCACAAGTATATCAGTGTTATATGACGTAAATATATGGATAATGGATAGTTCATTAATATTATATCTATAATCGATATGTCGTAATACATCGATAATCGATATGGCAGACATGTCGTTACTGGGTATTTAGTATTCGTTTGAGGTTAAAGGGGATAAAAATATATAAAAACTGTTGGTATTTTAATGGACATTCGTTTAAAATGTTTAAAATCTTCATAACGTGTATAGTAATTATATCCACTATGAGACGTCATAAGTATATCGATATATCGTTAATCGACACGTCAAATTTATATCGAATGACAAAATGATATCAATAATATATAATCTACGAGTGTAGTATCGATAAAACATATCGATTATCGGTAGATACTTTTTGCAGGAACTATTATACTACAAGTGGGCTTAGGTTTAAGTTATTATTTATATATTCAATTCAGTGTCGATATGCTACATCAATTATTCATTCCAGCCATTTTTTTAATCAGTGTTGTACAATTGAGTGTCAGTTAATTTTTCAACCAATCATCGATATTTCGTATATAAGTTTTTTCGACCCTAACCTCAAACGAGAAATAATTATCAAATGCCAGAATCGATTCAGTATCGATTTTCGATACCTATCCTTTAGACCAACGTTCAATATTTGTGTAGGCTGTGATAACCAAATCATCGCTTTTTTATCGATCTTTAACCCCAAACTAGGACTAATTGTGAAATGCCTGACTCCGTTGGTATATACGGTCCCGTTACGATCCGGTTACGCCGTGTTATTCTATAACTAATGTATCATTTTTACAGCTTGGTCGGATTATTTGTAGCGAAGACCCGCGGTCAGCCCGGCACGCCCTATCCGCTCGTTCCGACTGGACCTCGGCCGTTCACACTTTCTTCCCTGTTTAACGTATTACACGGTTTTTCAATAACACGGCTGTTAATCATGTGAAAAGTCGTAAAACACTCGCGATATTCCCATTGACAGCTCTTACGTGATTAAGCCGTGTTCCCAGGGGTGGGCGGGACCCAGTAAAAGTGAAACAATTAAAATTGAACAACGAAAAAAATAAAAACAGAAACAAAAACGAAAGGGGAGAGCATCGGATGAAAGTGATTGTCTCGGCATCTGAGAACATGTTCAAAACTCACATGATTTCCCTTTTAAACGGCCGGTTGACTTTCGAATCTGCCGGGCGGCCCCATCCGCGGTGCCCGGAGGGCGAGGGACGTGGAAGGGCCTCATGAATAAGCAACGACACCAGGGACAATGGGGCGGTACATCAACCCGTTGATGACAGATTGTCGAAGAAACGGTCTCGCCTGTGGGAATTCGAACCGTTGGAGGCAAAACGAAAAGAGCCGTAAATATACGCGAGAATGATGGCTTTGGAACTGGACCGACCATCATCAGTTTCGTAACTGGTCCTATTCTTCTATTGCACCATTCTGGGAAAAGTCTGTATGAGTACATCATAACATACACCATCCAATAGTTATATTTGTTTATGATTACATCAATAGAAAAACCTCTGACAGACCAAACCGGCGAGAATAGGCGGACCAACACTCCGCATACAACTAAACTACCAGCATATACAGTTAATTCGACAATTCTAGTAAAAACCTACACAGCTGTCATTGCCTTTGAGATAGCAAGAAGACTTTAAACAGAAATATAAAATTTTCTTTGAAAACATCAAAAATTCTGATAAATTACTAAAACATAACGTATTGATAGCTAACCCTAACCTTCAGTGCTCGAAAAATGGTCCTGGATATAGTCTCGATCTATTCTTGACATATCGATTGTCTAGCCCGCTCCCTGGTTAAAACTTGAATCGATTATCGATCATATGATATATCGATTATCAAATTTATCCTATATTAAAACAAGAATCGAATCAGTCAAATTATATACATATTGATTGTAAAGACAAGTTTAAGCTTGAATCGATTCAATATCAATCTATTTATAATATATCGATTATAAAGCCTTTGATTCAGTATCCATATATTCATAATATGGATTATCCAGTCTTTGTTAATACCTGAATCGATTAAGTATCGACCTATTCATGATATGTCAATTGTAAAGGATTTGTTAAAACCCGAATTGATTCAGTGTCGATATATACATGATATATCGTTTATCACGATTTTGTTAAAACCTGAATCGATCCAGTATCCATAGAGTTTATTATGTATTGATCATCAAGCCTTTATCAAAACTTCTATCCATTCAATAACGATCTATTTAAATTATATCTATTATCAAGCCTTCATTAAATCCAGAATTGAAGTATCCATCATGATATATCGATTATCAAGTCCTTAAAATCTGAATAGATTCAGTATCGATCTAGTCAATATCTATCCATTATAAAATTTATCGTATATTAAAACATGAATCGATTTAGTAAAGTTATATTCCTGACATATCGATTATCACGACCATATTTAGTTTAAGCTTGAATCGATTCAAAATCAATCTATTTATAATATATCTATTATAAAGCCTTCGATAAAACCAGAATCGATTCAGTATCCATTTGTTTATAATAATTCGATTATTAAGCCTTATAAAGGATTTGTTAAAACCGGAATTGATTCAGTATCGATACATCAATATATCGGCGAACATATCGATTATCAAGCCTTTATGAAAACCTCAATCTATTCAATATCGATCTATTTATATTACATTTATGATCAAGCCTTCGTTAAATTCAGAATTGATTCAGTATCCATCATGATATATCGATTATCAAACCCACCCATGGTTTAAACTTTAATTATTTCAGTATTGATCTATTCATGAAATATCGTTTATACAACACCGATATTTCAAAATTAATTAGATTCCATATAGATATGTTTTTGATAACGATTATGGATGCTTAACCATTGTTAAAATCAGTACGGCGCAACGTTATTCGTTCTAATAAAGCTAATATACAACTGAATTACCCTTTTTTTCAAGTATAAAAATAATATATACATATATAACGTATATTTTTTAAACATCTTCGATGATTTTAATATACGGAGTGTCGATACCCATTTCTAACCTCAAATTTAGATTAATCGATTGTCAAGCTTTCTAAAAACCCAAATCGATTTACACATATTCATCATATTACTTAAATTATTTTTGTCTGTATATTGAGCTTGTGATCCCTTTTTGTCTTTTGATTATAATATATTTAATTTAAAATATATAAGATAAATTAAAAAAAACATTGGGTGGCTTTTGATATAAATCTTCAAAATGTAGATTTGAACACGGCTTATCAGCAATGTCCAGAATCTTATTCAGAATCAAATTTGCAGTTTAAAAAAGTTAACAGAATTACCATTTAAATCGAACTATAGTGTTGTTTCTATCCTAGTAAATTGGAAAAACGGCAGGAGGTCGGAGGATTTCCACCCGGATTCGATTAATCGGTCCTCTATGCTGATTTTACTGTTCCATCTGAGTCATTCGCCGACAATGCCGTTTCAAAATCAACGAATGACAATCGTCCTCATAGAATTGGTAATTTTCCCTTGATCCTATTTTCCCTCCAAATTAAACCGGCGCTCGACGTATCGAATACCAATCGCGACGTATAAATTAAAAAAAAACATGTGGCAACTTTGTTCCCATTAAATAAATAAAAAAATAAGGTTTCAAAAATACGATTGTTACCTTTTATTACCAGGATTAGGCCCTCGATATCGATTTTGGATATTTACCGTCAAATTCGTTCCGGCTTTTCCTTTGAAACGGACTAAAAAACAAAAAATGTTTAGGCCAAATTCCCCCCGAGAGAGACAGCTGAGTGTCGTTTTACTTTTTTAAACAAAAAAAAATATATATAAAAATTCAGCCAAAGGTTTTTCTTTTTTTTTCTTTTTTTTGTTTTTCCCCCCAATCTATCGAGTCCTCCCAAGAGCGGCAAAATTTGAACGAGAATGATCACACCGACGTCGTTTTGACGGGCCGACCCGAGGAATTTGGAAAAAGGACAACCCCTTCCTAAAGGAAAACACCCTCAACTTCAACAGATTCGAATAGAAAAAAACCAAAAAAAAATTACAATTTCCGTGAGTACTTACAATAACACATTGATAACAATCAAGGCGTTTCCATTCACCTACTCCCACTCAAAAATCATAAGGCTTAACATTAACCCTACCGTAAAATTGTCATGACATCAAAATATGAAAATAACGACAAATATTTCCCTTCATTTCGTTATCTTTTCCACGAGATTCGGAGACTCCTTCAAAGAATCATCCCATAAGGACATGAAATATTACTACCTTTACACTAGTTCGTTTGATGCGGTCCACCTTGGCAATATATAGGGGGAAAATTCTAATACAATTAATTATAAACAATTAGAATTTATGCCAAATAGAATGAAGGTAGGCGATTTCAAGGAATTGTCCATTGGGGGACGGCTATATTTAAAAGTAGTACCTCTTCATTACCTTGCTTGATTAGACAGGTTCTATAATCAGCACAAAAGGTAAAATATGCTGTTGAACTTGGCATATAAACCAATACAATCTATTATTTATTATTATTATTATTCTAGTATTATTGTTTAGTAACTCTGCACTAGCTGTCTTGATATTAGTTTCTATAATCAGCATGAACTGTATGTGTTCTGTGTTACTGTATGTAAGTAAAGTATGCTGTTGAACATGGCACATAAAATCTATGGCGAATAGAGCGAGATAAGATGACTAAAAAATCTTCCGATATGGATATCTAGTATTCTGTTTAGTATCTATGCGCTAGATCGTTTGTTTTGTTAGTTTCTATAATCAGCATGAAGTGAAAAGTATGCTGTTGAACATGGCATATAAACTAATAAAATCTATGGCGAATAAAATGAGATAAGATGACTCTAAAAATTCTTCCTATATGGACATCTAACATTCTATGTTTAGTATCTATGCACTAGCTCTTTTGATTGGTTGGTTTCTATAACCAGTATAAAGAGTTAAATATGCTCTTGAAGACTGCATATAAGCCAATACTATTTTTGCTGCAAAGGCTGTCAATATTGAACGTTTTATACGCCTGCACTATCGCGGCCAATTAGGCAGTTTGTACATTCAAAAAATCGAGGAAAATGTACTTTTTAGGATGGCATATAAGCCAATACAATTTATGCTGAAAAGGATAAAGGAAGACGATTTCAAAGAATCGCCCCTTAAGACCGTCAATATTAAAAGTTTAATACCCCTGCACTATCATGGCCAATTAATCCAGTTTGTACATTTAACATATCGGGGAAAATGTACTTTTTAAGATGGCATACAAGCCAAAGTGATTTATGCGGAAATGGATAAAGGAAGACGATTTCAAAGAATTAACCAATTAAACTGTCAATATTCAATGTTTTATACGCCTGCACCAGCTCGCCCAGTTAGTCAGTTTGTCCATCCAACATATCCCGGAAAACGTACTTTTTAAGATGGCATATAAGCCAATGTGATTTATGCTGACAAGGATAAAGGAAGACGATTCAAAAAATTACCCAATTAAACTGTCAATAATCAAAGTTTTATACGCCTGCACCAGCTCGCCCAGTTAGTCAGTCTGTCCATTCAACATATCGCAGAAAATGTACTTTTTATGATGGCATATAAGCCAGTATGAGTGATTCAAAATTGAATGAAGGAAGACGATTTTAAAGAATCGCTAAATATTACAGCTAAGATTCAAAGTTTATTACCTCAGCACTGGGTTGGATGACTGATCAGGCTCTGAAATATAGCATAAAGGGTAAAATAAGCTGTATGATATGGCTTATAAGCCAATATGATTTTATGCTGAAAAGGATAAAGGAAGACGATTTCAAACAATCACCTAATAAGACTGTCAATATTCAAAGTTTTATACGCCTGCACCATCTCGCCCAATTAGTCAGTTTGTACATTCAACATATCGGGGAAAATGTACTTTTTTAGATGGCTTATAAGCAATTGATATAAGCTTATATTGATTTAAATTGAATGAAGGACGACGATATTAAAGATCGTCAAATATGACAACTAAGATTCAAAGTTTATTACCTCAGCACTGGGCTGGATGATATCAGGCTCTGAAATACAGCATAAAGGGTAAAATAAGCTGTTTGATATGGTTTATAAGCCAATACGATTTATGCTGAATAGGATAAAGAAAAACGATTTAAAGAATCACGCAATAAGACTGTCAATATTCATTGTTTTGCCCAGGTTTGTACATTCAACATATCGCGGAATATGTACTTTTTAAGATGGCATATAAGCTATAAGCAGCAATATGATTTATGCTGAAAAGGATAAAGGAAGACGATTTTAAAAGGATCACCTAATAAGATAGTCAATAATCAAAGTTTTTATACCCATCCACCAGCTCGTCCAGTTTGTACATATCGCGGAAAATGTACCTCAGCATGGGGTTGGATGACTTATCAGGCTCTAAAATCTGCATAAAGGGTAAAATAAGGTGTTTGATATGGCTTATAAGCCAATACGATTTATCCTGAATAGGATAAAGAAAGACGATTTCAAAACATCATCCCAGAAAAACTGCTAATTTCCTAAATACAGTACCTCTGCTACTAGCTCACCAAAGTAAGCTTGTACTGTCAGCACAAGGGAAAAATATCTGTTTTATATATGGCACACGATAAGGGATAATTTATGCCAATTCTAAAGAATCGTTGAATAACTACGGCTTATCTATGAAGATTACTACCGCTGCTCTAGCTCTTTTAATTTATGGTTGTATTTTCAGCATAAAGGAAAATATATACTGTTTAAAATAACATATAAGACAATACAATCTTATAGTAATCTAATAAGACGTATAAGTTAATATCAAAGTGTAGTATCCCTGAACTAGCTGGCCCAATTATTCATTTTGACATCAGCACGTAGAATAAAATATGCTGTTTAAGATGTGCGGCGCAATTGTAACAGTAAGGCATGTTTTAGAAGAATGCGAACAACTAGCGCCGCACAGAGCACGGTGTGGCCTTCCTAATGACATAACAAAAGTACTTAAGCACAACAGTGATTATAAACGGAAGGTCATTGATTACCTAAAATTAATCAATGTATATAGCTATATATAACTCACCACACGTGGTATATCCCTCCTATTTGTATGGATGTATTTATTTGCGTGAATGTCGAAGTATGCATGGGTGTGACGTGTCGGAATAACAAGTGCCCACAGGCCCACCAAATTAGTATAGATATGTTATATATTTGTAGTATAATGTGAGGGGCGGGTCATTGGCATTTCGTTGGTACTATACTTCCGAAGTGTAGTGGCTTGTCCAGAATGAATGTATTTATTAGCGTGAGAGGAGATGCGTGAAAGGACGTGGCTGTCGAGGAATATCGAGTACTCCACAGGCCCGTCAAACAATTTAGATTAGGATAGGTAAGTGTGTGAGTGGAACTTGTAAATACAGTTTGAACGGTATTTATAGTGTGAAAGACAGGAGGCCGCAAAATCACGATAATCTTCCGACCTCCAATTTAGTTGTAGTATAGGTTAATAAATTAGTATGAATGTGAATTATGAAAATGTGTAAATATTATATATATTTATTTTAATTTATCATGTGTGGGAGGGTAACAACAAACAAGATAACGAATCCCCTTTTAGGTGAATTAGGTGAATCGGAAGGCAACAGTTGTTTAGTTGAGGCATAAGAAGACTCAGAAAAGAATATACACATAAGATAGATAAGAAGAAAATGCAAGAAGGTTTATATGTGAGGCGCCGGCGATGACCCAGGTAGTTAGCCGGGGAAAAAAAAAGATGGCAATAGTCCGGTACGATCTGTGATGAACGGCGTGAGATATGATAATTCTAAAGGATCATCTAATAAAGATATCTAACATGGCGTACTTGCTACCATGCTACCGATTAGTTAGTTTCTATAATCAGCATAAAGGACAAGAATTATGCTTAATAGGATGAAGAAAACGATTTCAAAGAATCGTCAAATATTACAGCTAATTTTCTCTTTTTTATAACCTCAGCACTACCTCCTTCAATTTGTCAATTTGCACATTCAGCATACAGGGAAGAATGTACTGTTTACTATGGCTACAAAGCAATACAATTTATGCTGATTAGAATGAAGGAAGACGATGTAAAAGAATCATCCAAAACTATTCCAAGACTAGCTCGCCCAATTAGTCCATGGAGCATATAAGGAAAAATATGTTTAAAATGGCACATAATGTGGTACAATCTATACTGAACAGATAAGATGACTCTAAAGGATCATACAATAAAGGCATAAAGTATTCTATGTTTACTGCCTCTAACTAGCTCGCTTGATTACCTCCTATAATCAACATAAAGTATGTTACAGCATATAAGAAAATTTATGTTGAATAGTATGAAGGAAAGATATCAAAGAATAAATAAGTTCAAAAACAAGTTTTGTACCTCCATAGTTGGTTTGATAGGGTAGTTTCTTTAAACGCGTAAGGGTAAAATATACTGATGGCATATAAGCTAATGGCTAAAGGCTAACGTTGATTAATTCAGCACTGGGTTTCTTGATTTGGAAGTTTCTATAATCAGCAAAAAAGGTAAATAGACCGGTTTAGATGGCATATGTTATGGTACGATTTAGTTGAATGTAAATTAGCTCTGCCAATGAGTCAGTTGTACATTCAGCACATACATGCTGAATAAGGTCATATAAGACGATCCCAAAAGATCATCCGATCAGAACACCTAATATTTCCGGTTTACTACCTCAGGACTGAGCAAGGGAAAAACGTGCTGTCTAAAAAGGCAAATAAGTTAGCTCCATCGCGTAAAGGAAGGTGATTTCAAAGAATCCTTCATAAAGAAATCTGAGCAGATTTATTAAGATCAAACCATAAATATTAAATACGTCCTATGTCGTTTTATTTGTTGTTAGTCAATAAGGTTTCGTATTTATATGGTCGCTTCTCTCTGTGGGGCGTTGAACCGTTGTCAAATTACACACCACGTCCTTCCGAAATGGGCAGACGTGAGAACAAACATCACGTCCAATAAAAATTTTGGCTTTCGGCCGCTTCCTCCTTTCCAGCCCGTCCAGGCTTCCCCCTTGTTTCTCAATCCGGCTTCCGCTCCTTTCCACCGTTTATGACGACTTTCTCATTTGAAGATTTGCATTAATTCGACGGCTTTTCGTGCGGTCCCGTTCGTCCCCTCGGGTCCACACGGGGAATAAGTGAAAGGGCCCCTTTTCCTGAAAAGTCCCAACGGCCCCGGTCGAGTCCGTCGGGGAGAAAGTGATCCTATGATCTGCATCTAACGTGATTTATTGAGATGTGTCTTTCACCCGGCTCGAAAGCAGCCCCTTTGGGACGAAAGTAGCGGCCCGATGCGAAATTCGATTGTTACCGTCTCTCTACAGACAAAGCGAGACCTTCCGACCATTAATTAGCCATCATAGACATTAGGTTTCTCTTTCCCTATTAAAGGACCGAGTCGAATAACCCAAGCCTTTTTCGATGAAGACAAAGCCAACTTGAAATGAAGTCAAACCATTAATGTTCTCACGATCATACAAAAGGATTCAGATCAGAATATCTTCATCAACGCAAAACCATACACCCAAAAGAACGGTAGGTAGAAGTAAGAAGGATGCATATATCTCGGACTAGATCAACCGGTGTGTAGATTATACGATACAAGACATGAAAAATATTGAAAGTACGTACCAAACCCCAAAAAAACCGTGACTGGATGAATGATTGTGAGAAAGAATGCATGAATGAATGTTAGGAAATCGTGACTGAGGACTTAGTTAACAAATAAAATGGACACACCTTATAAAATGAGTAATGAGGTGAATGTGTGAAAAAGCGAACGAAGATGAATAATTGAATGTGTGAAAGGATTGAGTTAGCTTAGTTAAATGAAGTGGGCACTCGTAAAGGAATGAGTTAGTGAACGAATGACAGTGTGAACGAGTCAGTCAATCAATGTGTGAATGATTATCTTAGGAATGAGTTAGTGTATGAAGTGGACACAAATAAACAAATGAGAAAGTGAGCGGTTCAATGTGTGATTGAGAAAATAATTTGAAGTGCGAACGAGCGAATTAACGAATGTGTACAAAGGCGATTGAGTTAACAAGATAAGAAGGTACATCTAAATGAATGAATGATTGAATGAACATTTAAATGAATAGTAGGTGAATGAGTGAATGAAAACGTGAACGGGTGGATGAAGGAACGTGTAAAACATGACTGAAAACTTCGTTAGCAAATGAATGAATGAATGTGTGAAAGGGTGACTGAGGACTGCGTTAGTAAATGAAATAGGTGTTGCAGAATAATGAGTGAATGAACAAAGAAATTATGTGTGAATGAATGAATATATGTGTGGAAGAGTGACTGAGGACTGCGTTAGTAAATGAAGTAGGTGTTGCAGAAAAATGAGTGAATGAATAAAGAAATGATGGTGTGAACGAATGAATGTATGTGTGAAAGGGTGACTGAGGACTGCGTTAGTAAATGAAGTAGGTACTACAAAGTAATGAGTGAGTGAATGAATGAACAAATAAATGATGGTGTGAACGAGTGAATGAATGGGTGAAAGGGTGACTGAGGACTGCTTTAGCAAATAAAGCAAATACTGCAAAGTAATGAGTGAGTGAATTAATAAATAAATGATGATGTGATGAATTAACGAATGTGTACATAGGCGATTGAGTTAACAAGATAAGAAGGTATATCTAAATTAATGAATGATTGAATGAATATTTAAATGAATAGTGCGTGAATGGCGTGAACGAGTGAATGAAAACGCGAACGGGTGGATGAAGGAACGTGTAAAACATGACTGAAGACGGCGTTAACAAATGAATGAATGTGTAAAAGGGTGACTGAGGACTGCGTTAGTAAATGAAGTAGGCGTTCCAGAATAATGAGTGAATGAACAAAGAAATGATGGTGTGAACGAGTGAATAAATGTGTGAAAGGGTGACTGAGGACTGTGTTAGTAAATGAAGTAGGTGTTGCAAAATAATGAGTGAATGGATAAAGAAATGATGGTGTGAACGATTGAATAAATGTGTGAAAGGGTGACTTATGACTGCTTTAGAAAATAAAGCAAGTACTGCAAAGTAATGAATGAGTGAGTGAATTAATAAATAAATGATGATGGGATGAATTAATGAATGTTTGAAAGGGTTACTGAGGACTGCTTTAACAAATAAAATAGGTACTGCAAAGTGAGCAAGAGAATGAATAAATAAGTGAAGGTGTGAACGAATGAATGGTGAGATAGGGTGACTGAAAACTGAATAGCAAATGAAATGGTCATACAAATTAATGAATTGACGAATGAATAATGAAAGGGTGTCTGAGGACTGAGTTATCAAAAGAAGTTATCTCATACAATTGATTGGGTGAATTTGAGAATAAAACAAAGTGGGAACGAGCTAATGACTGAATGAATGTACGAAATGGAGATCGAGAGTTGACGAATGAAGTTAGCAAGTGTTAAGTAATGAATGTGTGAATGATTGAATAATCGTGTGAGTTGAATCGAACCTAATTTGTAAGTGTTCTTCTTTCTAAGTCTACGTTTATTGGTTTATATATTGCCTGTAACCGGGGTCCTAAGCATTTTGTTTTTCTGGCATAGAAAACCGTGGAAACTACCTTCTCCACTTTTTCCATTTTAGAAGTGTTATCGCATGATATACAATGTTGCGCATGGTCTCGCTCTTTTCTTTGCTTTATTTACGTTTTGTATTCTTGTAAAGTTCTAAATCATTTCGATTTCTGTACTTCCTAGTTGATTATTTAAGCCGGGCGTGTTGGACGTGTTGGTAGGTGGTAATTTCAAATTGCGTTATTGTACAAATCGACTGTCTCCTAATTGGGCGATCATGCGGTGCAAGGTTTTCTCCCCACAGCGTAGGGGGCGATTACAAGACAACGTGAAAATAACGGGATCGGTCGCTTTTAAGACTGGAATTAGGCCTGGTCCTGTAGGCACGCGCCGAGGAAACCATAACCCGTGGCTGCTAGGAAGTGAACTGCTTCACTTTCCATCGTGTCGCCGATACCAAGGCGAAAGGCCCGTAGAAAAAGGGGAAAAAGGCCAGTTTTCAAGCGGGTGGTCAAAAACGGATAAAGTTCAAAGGTCGCCGGTTGAAGTTACGGCACTACATTCCAATCTCTTACTCCCACAACCGGGCCCGGGGTCCCATTCATTGCAGGGGGTGTCGACACTCGATAACCCATTCCATAACCGGCAACCGCTTCGGACGTCTCTCCCAAGCCCTGTCTCTTCTTAACAACGTGAAAAGTCAACTGGCTAAATATTTTATCTTAAACAGTCGTATTTCGACACAATCAGTCACGTACAGTGGGAAACGATTCTCACAAAGCAGAATAAGCGAGACATAACAGACCCAAAACTTCCTCATATCGATAAGGTTAAGATATGAAATGTATCGTCGAAGCAGCGAGGCTGACCAAATTACCATCGATTTAAAGAACATCTAAATAGAGACGTTGTAGTCTTTACCTTCATGATTTTAGCGAGGCTGAGCTGGCCCAAAGATCGACAGCCTACCCAAGTCCAATATACTTCTCCGTTTCAAGAAAGAATTTGTTTAATTCAAGAAATTTAAGGGCCCGCCTTGCACTGTCTTCCTTCTGGGATAGTTGGTCGTTAAGGATAAAATAAACCAGTAGAGTATCATAACATTCATAAAAAGGACACGAGAAATATTGTTATGAGGGGAAAATATATGGGTCCGACTGGCCTCGCTTTTAACCCATAGAGCAATCCTGTTAGAAAACCGTCATTCTTCAGGTCCGCCTAGTCTCGCAGTGGGTCAAACTAGTCGCGAATAAAAACGCCGACGATACGAGCACGAAAGAAAGAAAGTTGTGATCTATCTTGACACACAAAGACGATCTCTTTTCTAGAATGGCCAGTCATGGTAAATATGTCAATAATGTGAGACAAAAGATTGGCAAAACTTAGCGAGACGATCCGGACCGTATGTTCTCTGAGGAAAAAGTCGATCGTACCCTATAGCAAAATAGGCTTAAATTCTTGTTATATCGGACGTGTCGAACGCACACGATTCGTACAGAAATTCAGGGCGAAAAATTAACGAAATCCGCCTTGCAATTTCACTCAAGAATTGAAAAAAACCTGGTTGAAAATTGATTATAAGAAAGGGATCACGTACCTGTCGCACAGTATTCTGTTAATGGGCCGTTTGAGAAAGTCAAAAAAGGCCTTTTTCTCGTCCATCACGTACAGAACATGTCATAGAAAGTTACCTGAAAAGGAAGGAAATTGTTTAAACTGATTGTAGAAAAAAAAATATACAGAATATAAATTATTTGCGTCTTTGTTTTTTGGCCATACTAAGGGTTGTTTTTTTTGGTCTGGTAACACGGTTTTTGGATAATCGCCGAGTCGAGGAATCGGGCCGACGTCTGCCATGTGAAATCGTTTTTCCTTTTGTTAATTGCCAACCAATTACGGAAGAACGGTAAACTGTAAACGTTAAACGGCCGGTTCCGCTCCTTTCCCAATATTACCCCTGTTATGCGACAAACGTGACACACTTTTGTAAATCTCATCAAGGTTTTTTCACTACTACTATCATTTTTTTTTAAGTACAAACTACAATTAAGAAAGCCATAATGAATATCGTTTGGAGGTTTTTTATCAGAAGAAAGGAGGACGAAGCACTCCTCGTCCTTAAGATTGATCCTGAATCCTGATTGGTAATAAAATAACAAAAACTACCCAATATTGCATATTATACGTAATAATGGTCATAAAATTGAGTCCTACCGATTCGCAATGTACAAATGAGCATTTCTAAAAGTTGAATTTATTTAAAAAGTACACTTCCAAATTCACCCGTTCAGTCATTTCAAAAATTATCTTTAATATACGTTTGTTCATTTGAATAAATGTGTAAAACAGCTGACACTTTTTCCCCTCTTCCCGGCATTCGGGTAAAACTGTGGGCAACACTGTCTCCGGAAAGTGAGGTTGTTCAATTTTGCCCATGGAACTTGAAATTAAGTCTTTTCGGAATTATATAAAATATAAAGAATATAAAAGCCGACACGTAATGTTATAAGTATATTATTATTCTTTTTTTATGTAATGTCTTAGTTGAGAGTTAGTGGCACGACCGGGATTCGAACCCACTCGGCTTAACCACTTGAGCTATCGTGACTGGTGGTTAGAGAAGCGGCATATTGAGCCGAAGGTCGTGGGTTCGAATCCCGGTCGTGGCACTAACTTTTTCATCTCAAATAACACATCACAAAAAAAAAGAAAAATAAGATCAAAGATGAGATGAAAAAGTTAGTGCCACGACCGGGATTCGAACCCACGACCTTCGGCTCAATATGCCGCTTCTCTAACCACCAGTCACGATAGCTCAAGTGGTTAAGCCGAGTGGGTTCGAATCCCGGTCGTGCCACTAACTCTCAACTAAGACATTACATAAAAAAAGAATAACAATATACTTATAACATTATGTGTCGGCTTTTATAATCTTTATATTTTATATAATTCCGAAAAGACTTGATTTCAAGTTCCACGGGCAAAATTGAACAACCTCACTTTCCGGAGACAGGGTTGCCCATAGTGTTACCAAAGTGTTGTTATATAATTTTTTTTTTAAATAATTAATATGGTCAATTAGACCACTAAACATAAATGGGTTATAAGTATATTTTATGAGTATTTGTAAAGTACCTAACTTCAGGCATTTAATTTTCTTATCAACAGTATTATCAAGTTATCAAATACAAGGAAACGTTGTGTTTGGAAACATATGAAATCTTCCCTCCCATCACGAGTTCAGGTAACACTGCGGGCCACACTGATTCCGGAAAGTAATGTTGTTTTTTATTTTAGCGCAGTTTGTTATTGTGTTTTTGGAAAAATAACGACTACGTGTAAAACCCTACTTATAATATGGCCACCACATACAAACAAATGCAGTGTGAAAAACTGATACTCTTTCCCCTCTGTCTCGTGTTCGGGGTGCAGGCAACACTGATTCCGGGAAGTGGGGTTATAAATTATTATATTAGGGCGGCATGAAGTTTTTACGCAGGGTGTTCAATTAACATATAATTAAAGGCTGTAAAAACCGATGTGAACCACTACCACGTACAAATAAATGTGTTGGTAAAATAGGTGGCACTGTTTTTCCCTCATCCCGTGTTTGGATAACACTGCGGGCCATACTGATTCCGAAGAGGGCGGTGCTTAGTACGTCTAGCTAAATCCCCCTGTATATGTTTGTCTATTCCGTCTGCTTTTCTGTTTGTCTGTGTATTTTTCATCCTTTATCATAATATACGTGCGAGAAGCAAACAAAATCCTAAGCTACCTTGCACAACAACGAAGTAAAAATAAACCAGCCTGGTGTTCAAGGTTTATTGCGATTCGCGGAAGACCCTATCAAGAGAAATCGACTTTGTAAAAGTAATCCAAGCAGAAATATTCACGATTAGCCTTCTCTAACCGACCTCGGTTGGACTTAATTTATATATGTAAATTTGCACATGGTATTCGAATGTCTTAAAAATGAAAATCGTTTGTTCAGTTTTTTTTAAAAGAGGGGTGTGTATGGTATATAGTTATCAGTGCTGGTCACAGTGTTGCCACACGAGGAAAACAAAAAGTTGGGGTGATTCGTGAAGAATGTCTAAGATTTTATTGAAACAGAAATATTCCATATATTAAAGAACAGTGTTTAATGTGTAGCTCGCCAAATAAGACAGTGGAAGAAAAAGGGATTCCCACGTATCTGCCCTTTACAAAATTGAAGTCCTAGAGGGGAACTTATTTGTAAAGTTCACCGTGTGAAAAATAGGTTTGTTAGCTACGGCGGCAATTTTCGATTTTTCTTACAAATCTGTAAGGTCGGCAAGGTGGAACGGGCTGTTCAAATGCCGCCGAGCGATGCCGAAGGGTACCGTTTCGCAATGGTCCATTTGCATCCGAGCCTTGAACTTTAAATCGATCTTGGCGAAGGTGGATCCGAGATAGTTGAGGCTTCCCTTTCGAAACCGTAGATCCAACATGGTTCAGAGGTGGTACTTTTTGGAAAGATGTCCCCTTGCGCAACGGTGGACAATGGATTTCGGCCGTTGCGCAATCGGGAGCGCGTTGTATTGAGCAACTGCGGCCTGCGGTTCTTTTTTTGCATATTTGCTCCTTTTCGGGTCACCGAGTTTGGTTTTCTTCCCGGCGCCCGCCGACGCGGAATAAATGACAAAGATTTCGGTGTTATGCCCTCTTAGACTGTTGGTCGCGACTTGAATTTAAAAGCTCAGAGACAATGAAACGTCCCACTTTTCATTACACATGTAAAACGCAAATTGACCAAACAAAAACACGAGAAGGCGGATTTTTATCATTACTTACACGCGGACAAGGATACTAACGGAATTCCATCCTTGGTTCGCCAAACTTCATGGGAATCTCATCACCTCCTGGGCAGGATGTGGCGGAGATTCGGAAGGCCTTCTTTTTCATTCACAAAGCAATCCGACTAGATTTATTGTTTAAAGCGCATACGACGGAATTGGCCCAATCGGCCTTCTCCTTCAGATCTACGGCCAATTATTGGATTATGGGTCCGGCTCGTCTCGTGGTAATCACGGATGGAAGGTCGATCGATGAGCAGAAATGCCCGTTGTGATGCAGGCTTTTGGTTTTTCGTCAGAGACTAGACAGATTGAGACACGTTTTCGACGGATAAAAATTAAAAACCTCTTTCTAATTCAATCTCTATCGACCTTTATCACTCCCAAACAACGTCTCTCGGATCAACTCCCTCTCTCCTTTAATCACTCTCTCTCTCTCTCTCTCTCTCTCTCTCTCTCTCTCTCTCTCTCTCTACTTACATACAAACACACATATAGAGACACCTCTTTTAAGTAATAGCCCTGTGCCTTGGAATTTTGTAGTTTGAGTTTGTTCGGATTCCATGTTGTTATGTTTCATTCGATGCACGATGTATCGAAAAAAGTCGCGAAATTATTTAAAAGAATTTATTTTTAAATCGAGCCCGTGGACTCCCTCTCTCTCTCACTCTCTCTCGGTCACACTCCCACTCCCACTCCCGCATCATTTTTTGCCTTCATCCACAACTACATTATGAATCTTTCTCAGATGTTGAGGCTGGCCAAAATTATTTTTCCCGTGCATCTTCTACTGAAACTACTCTTTTTTTTCTAGCCAGTAAATGACCCTTTCCTATTGTCTATGCTATGTTCTCTGAACAACAATCTATAATTTCTCAAACTCTCACGCGCATATATATTTTATCTGTTTTTGCTTATTGCATCAACAGATGCAGATGAAAAAAATCAATAAAAAATTATAATGAAATCCATTCTACTTGGTGTATGTTATGTCTTGTAGAGTTAGAGGTGGCCTATTGCGATGGGGAAAGCGATTTTGTTTGTTTTCGCTTTATTTTTAACCGATTGATCAAGAAACAACCCGATCCGAACAAAGGCGCGGTTTTTATGTCAGACTTATTTTGGCCGAGGCCCCGGGGGGCCAGGTTGAGTCAGCCAGCCGGCCGTCGAAGGTTTCTGCCCGGGGGAAAGGTCGACTTGTTTGTGTCACTATGCAGAACCCGTCTTTGCCCGTTTGTCATGAAGTAACTGAATTCACGGACAAAAAGAAAAAAATTCATTTCCCGCAAGATGTTTTCCGGCCAGGGCGGCGATTGTGTCGAAAGGCGACCCCGTTCCCATCCAGGGGTTCCTCATTCGTTACGTCAGCCGAGATGTAACGAATCGACTGAAGATATTTCAAAACGGCGGCCCCAACTTGGGAATTGAGCAAAACAAACAGACAGGCAGGCCTTTCGCGGGGGAGATGAAGCGGATAACAGTCGATCGAAATCATAAGAATGACGTGACACAACGAAAAATCTAGTCCAAGTCCCTTATTCTCTGTACTCGGAAAGGTTATGGAATCTGTTTCAGTAGATAGATCAGCGAGGGTTTTGTTATAAGTGGTTCCTAATCTAAAATTAACAGGGTCAGGGTGGTGGACATTAATCAATCCTCCCTTGAACCCTTCGATCAAATGTGGCACCCGATGCTTGCTGCCGAAGCCCATCAGCATCCGTGAGATACTTTCAAGCCAAAATCGGAAAATCCTTCTCCCCAAACCACTATGCCGAAAGAGGTGTTCCACAAGGGAGCATCCTTGCTCTCATTTTTTTAAGTACACGCAGGTATACCTAATAATTCCAATAACTCCTCACTAATGTGGAGGA